ATGTATGTGTGTGTGTATATATATATGTATACACATATATGTATACATATATATGGATGTATGTGTGTAGATATACACGTGTGTGTGTGTGTGTATATACATACACACACACACACATATGCGTGTTTGCGTGTGTATGGGATAGCCCCCGCGGGATGCGCACGTTAACCCCGTCCCACTGGTTTCTCTCCCTGCCTAGAGCTGGAGGGGCAGGACAGGACGGTGGCAGAGAAGGCCAGCGGGCAGGTGGAGAGATGGCGACGGGCGCGGATGTGCGGGACATCCTGGAGCTGGGCGGCGTAGAATCAGAGAACACGGGCACCATCAACAAAAAGGATATCATCAACTCTGATAAGGTGAACTGTGGTGCTGGAAGGGGCCACTGCTTGTTTTCTAGGCACTGACTTACTGTGCATGAGGTGTCTGGGGTGAATATTGGAAAAAAGATGGAAATGAAGCATGTTCCATTTATTTTTGGTCTTCCTAGGAGTATCTGGAAATGCTTGGAGGCCCCTACTCCTGGGTTCCTGGTGTTCTTAGTTCACGGTGCTGTGGCATTTAGGGTGCTATTTAAGTTGGAGCTATATAAGTGTTCTCCTGGTGACATGGGCCTGGCCTCAGGACATTTTCAGCTGTCTCTAAAATTCCCATTTTGTGGAGTAAGTGTGGAGTACGTTTACCATCTAGCCCACAAGCAGATGGAAATAATAGAACATAGTCCTGTTTTAGAAGAAAAAAAGCACTATCTGACTTGATCGAACAGTAAATGTCTTTAAACCATGGGAACAGTCCCTGTGCAGGAAAGGTGTTTGGCTGGGGTTTGGGAGAACTGGGATCTGTGGCCAGTAGGAATGTGGGCAAGTTAGTAAGCTCTGCTAAGGGTGTATGCTGTCATGTGCTGTGTTCTATGTGGTAATATGCTACGGTATGTTGTTGCCTTCTGTATTTTAGATTTGGGCAAGGTCTTGGCTGTCCTATGCTTTGCAGGCTGTTGGGAAGGTCACAAGTAGTTATGAGATGTGGAGGTGCTTCGGAAGGAGATGAGGGAGACAAAATCTGCAGGAGCTCTCTAGTACAGACGTGGTCTGATTTGAAGTACAGCCTCTGTATTTGTTTGGAAAAAAAAACCAAACCAAAATCAAACATACACAACCACCCCATCACTGAAAGTACTTCCTGACTGCCTTTGTTTATCTCTGAAACGTTTGTCTCTGAAGGACAGTGGTTTCCTGACTGCCTTGCAGGGGATAGGACACATAGTATAATCGGTGTAATGGAAAACTGATGAGTTTCAGTAATTCAAAGGCTGAAATGTTAAAATGACCAGTTATCAGCTGTGGTAGTGGATAGTGAATCTGGTGAGCAGCTTGTTGGCTGGATTCAGCCTGCGATGTGCCTCTGAATGTTTGGAGTTGCGAGTTCTTTACTTCTTTTATTCAGATGTGTTTCTTAGCTAGCAGAGACCTGAAGGAGTACTGGTGGCTCTCTGTCTCTCATGGAGCAGAGGATAAGACTGGTTTCTCCTTATATTTACTGTAATGGAAAGGGAGGCGCAGCAAGATGTTTTGGGAGGAGGGCAGGAGGCCACTTGCCACTGTGAGTGAAACATTCTGAATTTCTGCAAAGTACAGAAACTAAATCAAACCAAGGGTATAAGCCATTATCGCGTGGAGAGAGCAAAATTGCTAATAGCAGTGCAGCACTTGCTCAGGAAATAGATTTGTTCTCAACTAGAAAAGAAACAGATTGGTGTCTTTAAATCATGAGAGAACGATGAAGTACTTTTGAGTCCGTTAGTGACTGAGAGTGTTAAAATAAAATGTTTTTATGCCTAGAAATTTTACATCAGCAGGACCAAGTAATTTTGTTCTCAACTCCTAAAAGAGCTGGCTGAGCTGATCTCTGGCCTGCTGGTATTAACTTTTAATAAATCTGTGAACTTTGGAGGAATTCCAGAAGCCTATGTTCAAACAGGGTCTGTGGTGACCTGTGGGTAACTGCCTTAGTTGGCCTCGCATCGCTGCTGGGCAAAGTGATGGACATGCCAGGAGAAAGATGTTTGATAGGAGTGAAAAGGTGCTAATATAATGAATGTCTGTCATGAAGTTTTATAGTAGTTGTAGTCCAAGCTGGTAGGTTTTTTTTTTTTTTTTTAATGGGATCTTGAATTTGCTTGATAAAGGTGACTGTATGGATTTAATACAATTTATGACACAGTGTTAGTTTTACTACTGCAAAATATTCTGATCTAAAAGTTGGTAGCAATGTGGTAAACAAGTACTTAAAAGGGGTGATATGGCTAGCAGTTATCAAGGTGGTATGGTTAGAGCAAATGCTCTGGACTACTCAGTAAACTTGGCCCACTTTAGTAAAGGGTACCTTGTTAATGTGTCTGTTACTGTGTCTGCCTGAATCCGAAGCTGATTGCTTTATGAGCTTGCATATATGATATGACGTGGACTGTGTCTTAGAAACCATCAGTTCTAACCAGATTTTAGGGGTTAGACTGAGTCATCTACACTGAATTCCTAGTGTGAAGAAACTACCTTAAAAAAAAAAAACAAACCCCACCATCTTTGCTGTATAGATGGGAGAGTGGAGGTGGGAGCAAGGGTTTGTAGGTGATACCAGTAGTTTTGACATGGGGCTACTGCAAGGGCTTGATCACAACTGTTAGAAACTGAGGTTGCTGCAGAACAAAGTGCAAAAACCCAAGAGAGGGTGGGAAGATATTTCTTATTATATTCTCTAAAAGGTAGAGAATCACTTAAGTGCATTAATACCATCGTGTGAGGATAGTGTTTACCTAGTAAAAAAAAAAAAAGGCTTAGTGCACCAGCCCCTGAAAACTACAGCCAGATGTTCAACTTGGAATTTAAGTGTAGTTATCAGTAACCACAAATGTCTTGAGTACTGGTGAGTGCTATCACTGAAAGTGGGCACATTTTGTCTGTCAGTGTCTTTCACCAGGAACAGGCACTTTCCTGGAGAAATTCAAGGTGTCTAAAAACAAACAAAAGTGAAAACCATTACAGGGCGCCAGTTTGTGTAGTTTAATGTTCCCTAAGGGATTGTTACTTCTGAATCTAAAATGCAATTCTTTTGTTTCAGAAAAAATCCAAGAAGTCTTCAGAGACATTGACGTTTAAGAGGCCGGAAGGAATGCACCGAGAAGTTTACGCGCTCCTTTACTCTGACAAAAAGTAAGAGCTTGTGGTCGTCTGTGCAGGTTGTGGGGTAGCCTTCACTTTTGGTGGCAGGGCAGCGTCCTCTTGAAGCCACGGGCAGCCTTACTTCCCAGATTGATTCACCTTTGTGCTTGGCCCATGCTTGTGCCCTTCTCTCTTAGACAGTCCTGGACAGTGTCTGTCTTCTCTTTTCTAAATTTGAGGGGTTTGCTCTGCGTACGAGATGAATTAGGTACAGGCATGATAGTCTAGTGCAGACAAGGCGGTGTTCTTGCCCTTCTGTATCTAAATCTCTTTATTCACATCTGGGAATAGCACCTGCTTTTATTTCTGCAAAAAAAGTTCCGCTGCAGCCTGCGTTTAGCTTGTTACGGATTATGGCCTTGCCTCAGATGTCTCTTGCATAGTTTGCTTTCCAGGTGGTTCTGTTCAAACCCATCTGGGATGTGTATTCTGTCCTCTTGATGCGGGGAGCAGTGCAGTCTGGGAAGTGCAAAACCTGGAATAGAACTTAAACTCAGGTTTTCCCACCCTAAACATTGTGGTGTCAGGTCCCACTCTGAGTCTGAAATCTCTTTGAGTTAGTCCTGGACTACTGCTTGGTTCTTGTCAGCCAGTGCTTTTCTCCACCACAGGGATGCACCTCCACTGCTGCCAAGTGATACAACTCAGGGTTATCGAACAGTCAAAGCAAAACTGGGGTCCAAGAAAGTCCGGCCTTGGAAGTGGATGCCTTTCACCAACCCAGCGAGAAAAGATGGAGCGATGTTCTACCACTGGAGGAGAGCAGCAGAGGAAGGGAAGGACTACCCTTTTGCCAGGTTCAATAAAGTAAGTGGGAGCACTTTCAAACAAAAGCGTATAAATAGCAGCTGGAAAATACCCTTCGGTCAGCTTCTTGAATGTCCAGACAGGAAGTTGGTTCTTTCAACAAGTGAAGGCAGAGTTAGATTTGGCAATTGCATTTTAAATTTCTGCATGGCCTGCAGCGATGCGACCCCAGACTATGATGTTGCCAAGTCATTCAAGCTAAGTGGGCTCAGTGTGTGGTCAGAGCTTGCTAGAGCCCCCTGTGTTTCAGGTATGCAGTCAATGGTTTGGTAAGGAGGCACTCTGCCATCTAATTTGGTTCCTAACCAACATCCTCCCACTGATTACAAGCTCAGGGTAGTAACAGATACTCTATTCTGAGCGAGACATTAAAGTCATAAGTCTTGTTATTTTGCCCAGTATGAAAAAAATCGCTTGAGCTTCATGACCAAAAAGCTGGCTTGCAGCTTCTTGGCCAAATTCCAGCACAGGTGCTGAATTGCGTTGCTTTCCCTCTGAAATTGCTTCTGTGGTATATGTGTGGTGCAGTACCCTGTTCTTTGCGTCTTATTAAATTATCACAATGTGTTGTTGTAGTCTCCTGCTGTCTTTTGTCCCAGATGTATCTGCTTTGAGTGGCTGGGCTTTCATGTATATGCACAAAGAAAACTACATCAAGATTTTTACTTCAAAGTCAGGACCTCCAAAGTTAGGAAGAAGCAGAGTTAGGGTGCCTCCATAATGTGATTTAACCCCCTTCATGATGCAAATCTGAAGGGGAGGAAAAAAAAAAGCGTGTGCTAACATGATTCCACAAAAGCTCTGCTTGTGTATAACTATATACAACATTCTAAGTTTGTAACCCACAGAGCATCAGCTCTAACAAAGCCTGGCTTCCTGCAGAGTTAAGTGGTCGGTTGACCTTATGTTAGAAGGCTCAAGCTCTGACTGATGCTTTTCCTCTTGCTGGGACATTAGTAAGAGCCTCCTGTGGTATCTGTTCTCTGATGTCTAGGGTGGAAGTCTGAAGCGTGACTCGCTTTGTCAAGGCACCTAGCTAGCTGTCTGGGTGAAACTTTGGGAGTATAATTGTCTCTAAGACTCTACTGCTGTAACAGTTTTTGGCTGAGTTCAACTGAGTTTATCAGAGGGGGCCATACATGGGTGTTGTAATTATACGATTCTTGTTTCCTTTATCATGTACTGGGAATTGACAGACAGAAGAGCTTTCAGCAAGGCTGCAGCCTTTAGATTAGTGGTACAGACCTCTTCCATCTGCACATGCACAATTACATAATATTAGGAGCAAGTTGTTTCCCTTGTGGATCTGTGGTTGAGAGGATAGAAGGCACTGATGAGGAGTTTTGCAGATATTTGCTATATCAGAATAATTATTTACTTTTTTCCAGACTCTCTTGTAGGTTCCTTCTCACATACTTGATAACTCTGCCTGAATCTCTCGCTCCCCTTGGCATGAGCCCATTTTTCTATGTAGTCTGTTCTATTGGTCACTCAAGCTCTGTGCTTCCAGGCTCCAAACCAAATCCCTCCTTTTCATTGTGAGATACAAAATGTAAACTTAAGTTTCACAGTGTACAGTGAGCCTTGATCGAGGGTATGAAATAGGAGTATAAAAGCAGCTTCACTGGTGTCAGAGCAAAGGCATCTCTCAGCCGTTATTGTGTTTCTGGCTACTTAGTAAAGGCTTAGAGAAAGAATATGAGAATGGGGCAAATATAGAGCATTTTTTCCTAGCTTCTGCTGGTCTTTGGCTTAAGGATTTCTTAACTTGGAATTTGTTTTCAATAGTTCTTGCTAGCTAGGTTCAGGGCAGAAAGCTGCTTTGTGAATATCCCATGGTAATGAGTTCTTCAGATTGATTTTGTATGATGTGCGAAGGTGCTTTCTTCTGTCCATTTTAAACTGCTGCCTTAGGGTTTCATTTGGTGCCTCTGAGATCTTGTGTTACATAACGTAGTAAATTGTCCTTGCTATGTGCTGTGTTTTCCATAATTTGACATATATCTGCCCTTCTGTGCCCTGTCTTGCCCTTGTTGTTCTCAAATATCCTTTCTTTTGAAATAGATGGACTAGGAGTGAGTGTTTCACTTAGGGAAGCATGGCACATTTATGTATTGGCTGTGTTTCTCTTATGTCCCTGATCATTTTTATTGTTCAGTTTCTTTTCACCACTACTAGGCGTTGTGCTGATGTTTTCACAGAACTGTGTCATGGCTCCAGGATCTTTCCTGAACAGTTTCAGCTAATTTAATGCCCATGGTTGTGTGAGTTTACAGTGTGAAATGCAGGACTGAGAGGGGTTTTCTGGGCCATTGAATCCTCTTCTTGGCTCATTCAGGTCTTGCACCATCCAGTCCCCTTTCATAAACTGATCAAGTTCCTTTTGAAAAGCACTTGGATTTTCCTGCCTCTGTGCTTCCTTGGGAAGCACTTCCAGACTGTCTCTGCTCCATTTCTTATTTTCAGGGTAAGTTTTCCGTGTTAAATTGGCATTTCCTTGCAAGCCAGTTTCTTTGTCCTTATTTCGGTTGTTCTTTTCTTTCTGTGGGTCTTCCTTTCATTCCATCTAGCATACTTGAAACCTGCAGTCAGATTGCCTTTCAGACTTCCTTTGCTAGGCTCCTTTCTCTTCCAGTCTGCTGTGGGAAGACAAGCTCCCCACCCCGTTACTCATTCTTGTTGCTCTTCTCTGTACTTGTTCCCATTTCAATTCATCTTTCCTGAACAGGGGTCAGAGTTATAGTTGGTATTCCTGCCAAAGGTCTCGTTAATGCAACTGAAACCCTGCCAGTGTCTGTTGGAAATCCCTCTCTTGGGGGTCATATTTGTATTTCATGGCTATGTTGCATTTGAACTTATAATCATCCCATGGTTGGCTTAAGCTTTCCATCTGATGGGTTTCTCCTCACTTCTCAGCAGCTGTCACCTGAGCAGCCATGAATGGAGCTGGGGAAGTGTTTTGGGGACTGCTCTTTGCTCTTGTCCCATTCTCTTCTCTGATCAAGTATCTGCCCCCTTCCCACTGCAGAGGGCCCTTTTGGCTCTTTTCATTTATGTATGCTACTTGAGAATTTTTTTTTTCATGATGTATACAGGACACCTTTATGGTGTCTAGTAGGGTGGCTTTTCTCCTGGTGGAAGTGGTACTTGAAGGTTAAGGTGCAGTGCCTCCCCAAGAGATATACTTCACCTTTAAGCTTCTGTATCTAAGTGGTGGAAGAAGGGCAGTGGACTTAAAGAAGCTGTTATTTGGAGGCTCAGAAATGTTCCTCTGAGCTGTATGGAGTTCATGAGGATGACTTTTCTGGCATAGGACTCAGGAGGCCATAGAGATGTTGAAGCATGTGTGCTGCTCGCATGCACACGGTGTTTTCTTGTGGAGGCAGGACCTTCTCAGGCTGAGCAAAGTTCTACTGCGGGAGTGGTGGGAGGGGATAAGGGAGGAAAGCACAGGCTTGTGCTTTGCATTTTTGCTTTACCACACACTAGGACTTCCCCTAATACAGTGAGTATTTTCACTGTTCCTTTAGTACCCATGTGACACTTGTGTTCTGGATGGAGCCCTTGCAGAGCAGTTCTAGGCTGGGGACAGTGGTGTTGGTTTGACTTTTTAGGCACTTGGGACACTCTGAGAGTTGGATTGTTGTTTGGCCCTGTGGCTCTGCTGGAGAAAGGGTGGATGAGGAAGGGAGGGACAAGGTTGTTTGCCAAGTTTGTGGCCCTCAGTTGTACAGCAACCAGCGTTTCAGATCTTCCTGGAGCTGTCTGTGCCAAACATGAAAGAAGTAGGTTGTGTATCAAAGTTAAAAGGTGTGCTAAAGACTAGGACTACCTACTGCTCCTTGCTTTTCTCGTTCGTCCTGCTGAGTGTGTCCTAAGCCAAGTAGAGTTGACTGTCAGAGCGGTTTATGTCAAGGTGTTGGTGCTGCTGTATGGGAGGAATGCAGGGAGACTGACTGAACCTTGTTTTCACTGTCATGTTAGCCTGATAATTTTGAAACCTGTAGTCAGGATGTGGGTTGCTGACCTCTGCCTGTCAGCCACCTGAAAGAGGTTTCAGCCTCCCAAGCAGTAGTTCCTGGTATGCTCCCCAGAATGTCATGTTTGTGTCCCTGAGATCACACACTGCTCCTTATCAAGTCCTCTGCCTGCTTGTCCTGTTTCCTACCAGGACCCATTGCTCAGGGTCCTGGCAGCCCCCTAGTGTCAGTGTGCTGCACTGGTTCTTGGCTCAAGTATCTTGTCCCTTACCTGCTGGCAGTGAGAAGGGTAGTGCTGCAAGACAGCTACCGTGTTGTTTTTTTTTTTTTTTCTCTGTATAGACAGTGCAAGTACCTGTCTACTCGGAGCAGGAGTACCAGATGTATCTCCATGATGATGCGTGGACCAAAGCTGAGACAGACCACCTCTTTGACCTGGCTCGGCGTTTTGATCTACGCTTTGTGGTGATTCATGACCGTTATGATCACCAGCAGTTCAAGGTGAGTCTCGGGGGCCAAGGTGCTGCTAGCAGCATGCTGCTATGGCATGTGCAGGGCTTGCTGCAGTGCAAAGACCAAATTACCTTTTATATCAACTTAATTAGGGGAAAATAATGAATTATTGGCAGCAAGGAATATTGAATTTCCAGCACAGGGCTTTGTTTGTAATTAAATCCACTGTGAGTTGTGCTTGTTCCCTGTTGTGTTTTATTAGAAAGTTAGATGGTTTGCCCCTGCCAGGAGAAGAACTCATTGTTCCTTGGAGAAAAGGCAGCTGGGGAGTTTGTTTAGGCTGAGCAGGATAGGAGTCCTTGATTCCAGTCCAGGCCATGGGAGAAGGATCAGCTAATGGTCCCTAGGGATTGGGATTTTTCCCTGGTGCAGCTCGGCTTTTGTTCTGACCTGGTGAAGGTTTCTGTCACCTCCTGCTGTGAAGCAGGGACCATCAGTGGTCTGAAGATGCAACCCTGGTGTCATGATCGTAAATCTCCACTAACTGCTGGTTCCGTGCCTCCTGGTGACACGGGGGAATGATGTGACTCCTACAAAACTGATCCAGATACTGGAGCTTTTTGTTGCCCTCTGAAATGCTCACATGAAGAACAGAGTGAAATAACAAGAGTCTGCCCAGCTGGGCAGCCCAAACACTTTTGGTGCTTAGAGTAGGGAAGCACAGCTCAGACTGCATGTAATGATGGGCAATGAATTGTTGCAGCTGATGCCTTCTTGGTTGTGGCTTGAATGGCCATTGTCTGGAGCAGCTCAGAGGAGGCCTCCTGTGTGTTTAGCAGTTTCCTGTTCACACGTTTTCTCCTCTTCAGACAACTCCCAGATAAAAGGAAGCAGGGATAGTACTTCGCTGCTGTGTTGTCTCTAACCTTTGGCTGTATTGTTGGACCCTCTGGTGGGTGTTTTTAAAGCAGTAGCTGTGAACCCATTACTGTTAATTCACGCAGTTTCCTGAGAAACTCCCCCTTCCCTGTGGTTCCATGGGGTCTGGCAAGGCTCCCTGCTGTTCTTCCCAAGCACTGTGTCTTACAGCCTATCTTGACATGCTTTAGCCAGTGGTCCTTGTTTTGCTTGGTTCTTCTATAATGTTGTCCTTCTGTGATGTCTTCCACAGAAAAGATCAGTGGAGGACCTGAAGGAACGATATTATCACATCTGTGCCAAGCTGGCTAATATTCGTGCAGCTCCAGGCACAGACCTGAAAATCCCAGTCTTTGATGCTGGCCATGAGAGGCGAAGGAAGGAACAACTGGAAAGGCTGTACAATAGGACACCAGAGCAGGTAACTTGGGGAATAGAGCATCACTGCTCCAAAAGATTTATGATAAATTGAATCAGTAGGTGGGTGAAAGAGGCTGGAGGGTGGGAAAGGGAAAGAAAGACTGGACGAGAAAAGAGCAACACCTAAGTAGTGCTTTTGTTGTTGAGTTCCTGTCATTTTAAGTGATACAAAAGAATGATAACTGAGAAGTCTGGCTACACACTAGAGAGTTCTAGGTGAGCAGAGTTATGGTCTCTGGTGACTGCTAGCACCTCTGTGACACTTGCTGTACTAGTCCTCTGAATAGAAACAAATTCTCAGTTCCATGTCCTTATAAGTCCCCGAGTCCCAAGGGGAGACAATTATTTCCTTAGGAGTAAAAATTTTGCCAGAAAACATCAAAGGCTGTAAATCTGCATATTTAGTTCTTCTCTTTGTTGAAGCCATGTAACTGTCCCACGGTTTAGAGTTTAAGGAACCGTGTGTTCCCCAAAGGCTGGGGGAGAGCATCCTTTTCTGTTAGTAGTTCCCTCTAATGACAAATTCATATGTGTAATGACTTCGGTTGTCCCTCCCAACACTGACAGATGTGCTGATACTAGGTATAGCTGCTCTAGGTTCTACATGCTGTGCCTGAGGAGGGGAGCCAGCTTTTCACAACACTGCATTTACAATTACAGTGTATTTGGGCTTTTTTTACCCTTCTATCTGTGCTCTTGGTCTCTTTGTCTGGAGGTGGGATTAATCATTTATAGATGCTGCTGAAGGGTGATGGATGTTGTGATACAGTACCTGCCAGTTTGTAGACTGGCATTGACATGGATGCAGGGTAAGGCTGTGGAGCATAACGTGCTCTGCAAATACAAGATACTAGTCGGGTGAGTTTAAAGTCGTTCCCAGGCTGGCCCAGAGCAGGGCTGTTATCGGTAGATGGCCCCCTTGCCTTGCTAGTCCTCCTCTGCTGCTCTGATTGCCTTTACGTGCTCTGGTCTGCAGGTGGCAGAAGAGGAATACCTCATCCAGGAGCTCCGCAAAATCGAAACCAGGAAGAAAGAGAGAGAAAAGAGAACCCAAGACCTGCAGAAGCTCATCACAGCTGCTGACACCACCACTGAGCAGAGACGTGCCGAGCGGAAGGCTCCCAAAAAGAAGCTGCCACAGAAGAAAGAGACAGAGAAGCCTGTAAACATTTATCTTTTTTTTTCTTTTTTTTTTTTTTTCTTTCCCCCCCTCTTCTTTCCTTTGCTATGCTTTGCATGGGTAATGTGTTTCTTCAGCAATCCTACTGGATCGGGCCCTGAGCTGTTTTGACGGGAGTAGCTGCTAACTGCCTTCTGGCAGATGCTTTTTTGGTTATGTCTTTTGGAAGGCAGATTGGTCTAAGGCAGCCATTGTCAGAGTCCTCTGGTGAGCTCTGTCTCTCTCCCATTTGAAAAATGCTGATTTAAGTCCTGTTTCCCTTTCCCTCCCTGAGAAATGGGATGAAAAAATGCCAGCTGCTCCATGACTCATGGCAGGGAGAACCATCTATCTCCCTGCTTCTCCCAAGTTTATTCTGGTACTGCTGTGCAGGGTTGTCCCACAAACCCATTGTCTTGCACCTGCCTTCTTTTTCTAGTCCAGATTTCCCTTCCCTGCTCCTGGGTCTTAGCAGCATCTCCCCAAGCTCAGTACATGCCCCTCTCCTGTTCCTCACCTGTGATCAGAGCAGCCCTGCTGGGCGACTCTTGTGTTCTGGGAGCTATTGCTTCTGATTTTTCCCTGAGCCAAACTCAAGTCTAAAGAACCAAGAGCACAGATTTCAGTTCACATTTGATGTTACCTCAATTTCCCTTTCTGGAAAGAGGACAGAATGGACTGAACTATATCCAGCACCTTCAGTAGGAAAGGGCTGTTACAAAATCTCAGATGTTTCCAGTGAGTCCCTGGGAATTCCTGTTCCTCCACCTTGTGAACAGAGAGCATTTGTGTCACTGTCCTCCAAAAGGGTCTGTGCAGGGAGGGGAGAGAAGCAGTGAATGCTAGACAGTTACTGCTTGATGAAGTGTGTGTAATGGCCACCATTTCCTTAAAATGTTGTTTTGGATCCCCCCCTGCCTCTCTATGAAATTGCTATAATATCATTGGGCACCTTGTGCATTGAATTCCTTTGAGGGTTGATCTGGTAAAGCTCAACCGTGGCTGGCGCATCTCCCCCTGAAGAAAGCAGCTTGTTATTGGTGGTAATGAAAAAAGGGTGGTGAGGGAGAATGGGGCTGGAAAGATGCTGAGGATGTCAAGGTGGGGGAGTCCAGCCTAAATATTGCCTCTTGGCTGTGCCTGTCTGCAGGCATATAGTGGATAGGCACGCCAGGGTGGGTAGAGAAGCAGTTTATGTTGTTGCAGTAGTATCATTTCAACCATGACAGAGTCCATTAGGAGTCAATTACCAGCTATAGCTTGGAAATGTTAAGAAAAAAATTGCATTTTAACTAAGAATTTGAATCGGGAGCTGCATCAGCATCATTTCAACAAAGGAAAATCATTTACCAAAGAGTCAATTGAGGTTGAAGCGTTTACAGCATGTACAGGCATGCAAGGCAAAAGAACCCATTTAATTGCTTATGCGCTGAGTGTAGTCAGAGTTCTCAGCTAAGCAAACAATGCTGATTTACCCTCACTGCTTGTGTCAGGGTGCTCAGCAACAGGCTAGGGGTAGAGTTCAGGGAGTCTGAAAGCTAGTCTTCATCCAAAGGAAGGAGAGAGGATTGGTTTTTGATTGCAGCCTTTTTTGTCTCTAATAATCCAAGCAGAGAGAGTTACATCCTAGAAAGATCAAAGTGATCTCTGTGAATTCATGAGCCCTGTTGGTACTCGGAGAATACTTTTTCCACCATGGTCGTGTTTAGAAATCTCTTCCTGGGGCCTCTGTTTATTGGACTGACCATAGATAACTGAAAAAAATCTTAATGCCTGGTCATGCGGAGTGGTTTGCAATGTGCTACCTCAAGACCAAGGCCTAGAGATAGCTGATAGAGATGTGAGAGTCACTGACAGGGAACTTGAGGAATTGAGTCACTGTCCTTCAGCATCTCTTATGATCTTGGGGCAGCCCTGATTGTCTCATCCCTGTCTGGAATGAACAAAGAGCAAGCTGCAGAGCCTCTCTGCATAGAAATGTGGGAGCAGTCAGGTGAACGCCTCTCCAAAGAAATTGGGAGATTTGAAGTGTCTTCCGTTTGGAAAAGTGTGATTGAGCATGTGTTTTGCAGAGACTGTGGCTATTTTTAGATTGAATCATGAGTGGTGCTGACCTGTTCAAGGGACCCCACACCATTTGGTGCCCAGGGCCCTGCCCATAGCCTGGTTTAATGATTTAAAAGTTTGCTCAGCTTGTGCTTTGCTTAGCAGCACAGATTTTTAAGGGTTTGCATTTATTTTTTTCCACTTTGTTGAAATGCAACTAAATGCTCTGCTAGCAGCAGCAGCATTAAAGTTTGCCGCCTTATATTGCTATACTTTAAATGTGAAATGGGGAAGAAGGAAAACTGTCTGAGTGGAAAAATGGCAAATTGTATGTAAATAGCAGGCCTCCCTGGAGAGGTGCAGTCCTTACATCCTCATTAGTGGGCTCATGTCTGTACAGATCAGAGGTTCTCGGCTCATTCCTTAAAGGACTTGAAGTCAAAAGCCAAGATTTAGGGAAATCCTGTCCTGTTTTGATCAGTGAAATGGACCTAAATTAGGTAAGGATGATATTGTGCAAATATGCAGATGTTAGTATAAGGAGTGCCATTTAGGGTTAGGGTTTATGTGTGTGTTCGTGGGTGTGAGGCCTTGTGTAGAGCAGTGCACTTAAAGCAACAAAACAAAAATGCTTGAGCTCTCCAAAGATACCTTGAACTAGAGTCTTTTTCTAAGTCAATTGCTTGGGATTTTCCCACTGAATCCCATTGCTTGGGATTTTCCCACTGAATCCCATTGCTTGGGATTTTCCCACTGAATCCCATTGCTTGGGATTTTCCTCTTGTCTCAGCTCTGACATGTGTCTGTGGCAGGTGGTTCTCTGTCATAGGAAGCAGTGTTTCCCCTTCAGATAGCCTCTGTATGAAATCTTGACTTTCTTGTGTTTCCTCCATTAACATCCTGTTTCGATCTCTTTCAGGCTGTTCCTGAGACTGCTGGCATCAAGTTTCCCGACTTCAAATCTGCAGGTGTCACGCTGCGAAGCCAGAGGGTAGGCTGTTGTCCTGGTCCCTTGGGACCTCTGTTAGTGTCTTTCAGTCTGCCTGTCTATCTCCTCATCTGTTCTCCTTTTATAGCTAAAGAAAGTCAAGTTTTTGACTCTAAAATAAGAAAAGAATTCTGTAAATGTGGAGACTCAGAAACCTGGAATGCTGGCTCTGTGAAAGCCATCTCCTGGCCTTGCAGGGGCACCTAAACTTGCTGGTGTTTGTTACTGGTGTGCCTGCTTTGTTAGACACGTGACAGACCCAAATGGAGCTGTCTAGTCCAAACAGCTCACAGCCAAATGTAATAGGTCTCATAGAGCAGGTGTATTAGTTGATGAGAGGTGCTTTTAAGAACTGGATGTTCAGGTTGTTTCCTGAAAAAGAAACACAAACTCATAAAATTTTTAACCTTCTGATTTCCATTATCTTCAGAAATATTTTTGGGAAAAACCCCTTTGTTCATTCTGTTGCACGGGTGTTGCTGAGAAGAGAACAGTCTTGCTGTTTTATCAGCAAGACTTGATATTTGTCTCTTAGCGACAGGTTTTGGGATACCGAGTAAGTTAAACCTGCCTGGCCAACTGCATGTTTTCAGAGGGGTTTTGATAGCAAAATCCCGTTTGCCCAGTAGAAGTGTGTGTGGTGGTTGTTTGTTTTTTGTTTTTTTTTTTTTTCCCTAGCCAAATAAAATAATCTTTAGTTGCTTTATTGTAGCAAAAGTGGAGAAGTAGATTCCTTGCCCAGCACCCTCACTTGGCATAGTAATTTTCTAGGTCACTTTTAAAGACTGTTTTATGGGATGTTCTCTTGATGTCAGAGTAGTTGCAGATGTTGCTGGGAACACCCTGGGGCCGTTAACAGAAATGTGTTTGGGATCATGCTGCTTTGACATCCAAGAAGGCCAACCGTATCCTGGGCTGCATCAAAAGAAGCATGGCCAGCAGGTCGAGGAAGATGATTCTCCTCTCTGCTCTGGTGAGACCCCACCCAGAGTACTGTGTCCAGCTCTGGAGCCCTCAGCGCAAGAAAGACATGGACTTGTTGGAGCAAGTCCAGAGGAGGGCCACAAAAATGATCAGGGGAGCTGGAACACCTACCCTATGAGGACAGGCTGAGAGACTTGGGGTTGTTCAGCCTGGAGAAGAGAAGGCTCTAGGGAGACCTTATTGCAGCCTTTCGGTACTTGAAGGGGGGGCTGTAAGAAAGATAGGGACAACCATTTTAGCAGGGCCTGTTGCGATAGGACAAGGAGTAATGGTTTTAAAGTAAAAGAGGGCAGATTTAGACTAGGTATAAGGAAGAAATTTTTTACAATGAGGGTGGTGAAACACTGGAACAGGTTGCTGAGAGAGGTGGTAGAAGCCCCATCCCTGGAAGTGTTCAAAGTCAGGTTGGACGGGGCTCTGAGCAACCTGATCTAGTTGAAGATGTCCCTGCTTACTGCAAGGGGGGGTTGGACTAGGTGACCTTTAAAGGTCCCTTCCAACCCAAACTATTCTGTGATTCTGTGATTCTTTGACGTATGGGTGCATGTGCACATTAGAGGCGGTATGCCTCAGCAAGGTCACTGCTGCTGGACCCCTTTAGTGTTCAGGTGCCACCATTTGCAAGCTACCTGTTTGAGTGAGGGACTACAGCCTTGTGGAAATCACAGGCAAGTGACGGGCAAGACTGCAGTGCATGTGTTGAGATTTATGGAGACGTGGCAGATGTGTTCTCTGGCACTAAGATAAATAGAGTAATTTATGGAAATTGATTTGGATTTTGAAAACTAATAAGTGATGGTTGATCTTTTCTATTTTTTTTTACCCCCTCCGGAAGAGAAGCTAAGCAATAACCTATCAGTGATGGAACCATCTGGCAAAGCCAGCAGCCTTTTCATATGCCAAGCAGACAATTCAAATTCCAGCCTTTGTGAAAATGGGCGCTACATGCTACTCCAGTTTTTCTTTAATGCTAACAAAATGCAGTGATAATCTGAGGCATGGCAGTCTGATTCAGCAACTTTCAGCCTGCAGTATCCCAGCTCCTGGGATGACCTAGAACAACTTTTATGCTCTGCTTGAATTTTTTAAGGAGATAAATGCTGTTATTAGAAGTACCAGTGGTTTGCAGATTGAAAAAGATTGCAAATTACTGATTGAAGTGAAAAAACCAACATGTTGTTGCTGGGGAATGTGAAACCTGCCTCCAACCCAGCAAAATGAATGAATTTGTGGCTTTTAGCCAGTCACCTGGCTTCCTTATTCAAGTCTTCCCTGTTTTTAAAACGGGAGCTAGTAGACCCAATTGCTTCACATATGGGTGATGGGGAGAATTAATTACGTGAAGTCAGAACTGGTAAGAAGTGCTGAAGTGCTAAGTGGCATAGAGTTGACAATCCATGCGAATCTGAATTATTTTACTTGGGGTGTGGAATTGATAAGGGTGGGAGCTGACTAGAACTAAGTGAGGAATTGGGATGCTGTGCTCGAAATTCTTACTGTGGCAACGTACAGCGTAAGATGTTTTGCCCTGAGCGCATTGGAAAATGATTTCTAAAGGCTTGTGACATCCTGCAGTAAGTTCTTTTGCCTGAGGACCTAAAGGGTTCCTCACCTAAAGGCTTCTATTGTCCTCCTTTATTTTGTACTTCGCTACCATGCTTTACGCCTTCATAGTTAGGCAAAGTTGGATTTTGCACTGAGAACAGGGACTCAGTCTCTGTCACATGTGAAAATAATAGCACTTGCTCTTTGATTAGAGATGCTTTTTTTTCCCTGAGGATTTAAAATTACTCTGAAAACTTGAGTTCTTATTAATTTGTAGAAATGAGTCCTTGAAGAAAAACTTAGCAGTCTGTATTCAACTTAATTTGTTCCCACTAGTTTTTATGACAGTAGCCTTGGCTTTTGAAATTCCCCCTGTCATTAAAGCTTACAAAATCTTACACACAGGCTGAATTTGAAGACTTTTTTTTTTTTTCCCCCCTAGGATTAATGGTCACTTAATGGCCATTATTCTTCATAACCAAAAGTTTCTCCTTCAGCACATGCTGAAGAGTTATCTTCTCTAGTGAGTTCGACAAGCTGCCTTCTATCACAATGGCTTCAGTCTCCCATTGTTCTCCATGGGACTGTGGCCACAGGCAAAGAAGGCCACAGCCCCTGTGCCCTTGCTCTGCATGGGATTTCCCCTCTTCCTCCTGACAGCACAGACTGCAAGTTTCTCTAAGGCAGTAGGAAGCTGGGCACTATGAAAAGCTTCGTCTTAATTCAAGGCAGTGTATTGCCTTGGTGCCACTGAGAACAGGAGGCAGTAGTGGATGTTTTGGAAGGGGGTAATCTTTTCATGAGTTTCTTGAAAAGGAATTTTAGACCTTTGCTGTTAGTAAAACAGTGTTATGAAAATAATATCAGAAATGTATTATTAATCCTAAGCGTTACTTCTGGAAAACTTCCTGTTATACCAGATCTGCTCAGCTGGGAGGGCAGACAGCCAGAGGAAATGAGAAATGAGTAGGGAATTTGTACAGGGAAAGGAGAGGAAGAGACCAAAGAGAAAGCAGGGAGCTATGAGGAATGAAAGCTTTGTTGAGGATCTGCCTGAAGAAAAGGACAATGGGAGCTGTTCAACTTGAATCTTTTCCAGGACACAGACAAATCAACAATAACCACATTTGTGATGTAGGCATTGTGTTGCTTCTCTGGGGCAGAGCTGAGTTTATTTTGAATTTGCTGAAGTGTTTCTGTACCATGTCATGTTCAGCTTTCTTTTAAGTTTGGCTTTTGTCTTTGACTGTCTTCAGAGCACTTGACTTTGGCATACTTAACACATCTTCAGTGTGTTTTAAGTTGCTCATCTTCTCTCTCAGCCTTATCTGCAAATACAAAGTTGTGATTTCATTAAAAACTGTTGAAATGATGAGCAGCGCTTTTAAGAAGGAAGGTGATGGGTGGAAAAGGGTGAACGTTTGTCCTTACTCCCACATGTTGAGGTATGAGTCTTGTGTCCTTGCTCTGTTGTCACGACTTTGGAAACAAAGGAACTGGAAGAGAATCGGTTGAGTGAATGTCTCATCTGGAAACAAAACAAAACTCCAGGATGAAAAGGAGTTTGTAGAGATCTCAGTCCGCAGAAGGGGCTGAGGGATGCTCCAACTTAGTCATTCAAAGCTGACCACTTCTCTTCAGACAAGGCTTCCAGCCAGCAGCCTGATTCCATCTACTAATTGGGATCTTGTAGACAATTTGCCAGTTGGACCAATTAAAAAAGTAGTAGAGGAAGGAAAAATTTAAATACAGCTTTAGTACCCATTGATTCAAATATTCACACTTACCAGCTTTTAAATATTTACTAGCCTGCTGAGCATTTTTTTTTAGCAGTGATTAATGAGTAAGAATTTACTGTGGTTGTGGGGGGAATGTATGTGTGTGAGTTCTCTTCCGTTTTTTTTTTTTCTTGGAGTGGGAACTGAGTGCTTACTACAGCTCCAAGGTAAATGATATTTCTAGAGGAAGATAGGGTTGTATGTATGTGTTTAGACATGTTTATTCTCCATATTTGATGTGACCCACAATTAAATGGCCAAACACTCTGTTTACTCTGCATCGGAGGATGTTGGCTCTATTCCTTCCCTGTCATTAATGCAAACCCAGACCTCGTTGGCTGTGAACATGTGAAACATCTGTCTGTCCTCCTGTGATCAATACTGTCCCTTCAGAGGTTCAGCTTTGGAAGCAGTTCCATAAAATATCAGTTATTTTTATTTGGATTTGGTAAATTTAATTACTTGGAGCAATTAATAATTTATTTTTTTGTATTGATTGCACTCCAAGGCATCCTGGCATCAGTCTGATGGAGATCAGCACACCCTTATTAGATAGGAAAGTTTATGTTTCCAGATCTGAACATCCCATGGATTAGTTAGCTGAGATGTGCTTGTTGCTTCTGCTAGCAATTTTTCATTAGCAAAGTTGTATGTTTTGCACTCTATAAGAAGTGGATGAGAGTAATTTCCATGGGG